CCAGGGATGGCTTAAGATTTTCAGAATTTTTTTTTAAATTTTATTTTTTTTTAAATTTGCATTTCATTATTATTTGTACCATACCGGTACAAGCTTCACTTTGAAATCTAAATACGGTTTACTAAGGCTAAGCCGGGTACTGACGCGCGTACCTAGAAATGCTGAGTATTAGCACATCTCGCACATACTCTGTATCAAAACATGAACCTGGTCAAGGTATTTAAAAAAAAGTTATATTCTCATTTTCTATAATTTGTGTTCCATCCAATGAGGAGAAATAAAAAAAGTGCATGCATCGAATAGAACCAGTACATCTTTTTTTTTTTATTTACATCTTTTCTGAAATAGAAAACTGACCAGCGATTGATGCGAAACCAAATGTAAGCTAAATGAAACTGCAAAGGCTTGAAAATAATCATTTAACACTAACAGCTTTGAATTTTGTGTAACTGTCTTAGCAAGATGCATATCTTTGGTTATGACCATGGCATTTTCTACTTTCTATTTGCAATTAATGGTTAATTTCATGCTCACTGGCTGATGATATTGAGCAGCTAAAGTTTTGTGTGTGTAGATAATTTCTATTTTTTTTTCATTGAATTTAAGAAGAATAGCAATGTAATTTAACACTCATTTAATGAGTAAAAACATTGGCTTAATTGAAGACAGGCAAGAAATTATCTCCATGATAATATAAATATTTATTAAAATAAAATGCTTATGTTGGTACCCAGTATAAAAAAAAAAACTAATGAAAATTGCTACCAACCAGTGATACACAAAACCAATGACTTCTAACTTACAGTGAAGCTCTGCTCCATGATTAATTTTTGTTTATGCTTATGGGTAGTGGTTTGTCAACCTATGGCTCAAGATCCCACCTTGTGTTATTACTACACTCTGACTACATATCACTGATCAGCTACATAAATTTAAAAAAAAAAAAAAAAAAAATTAATTTTGTGGATGTTAGCAGTTAATTTAGTACCGGTACTTATATTTTAATAAGTATAATATTTTTGCAGTTTCTTTTCATATTAAAAAATAAAATTTTTACACACCGTAAATGATTTTAAGTTATTTTTTGGCCTTAACTTTAAAATTTGGTAGCATCTACTTTTACACAGAACTATAACCAGGTGTGTGAATTGATAAAACAAATTTCTGGAGATTGATACTCAGTTTCATTACTGAGCCCCCTCTACAGAACCCTCCAACCCTCTTACTCTTAGCCCTTATTTCTTTTTCCCTCCATCCATGATCAAAATTACATTACCAGTCCCCAGCGCCACTTTAAAAAGCCCTGCCCCTTTCCAAAACTTGTTTCAAAATTTCAAGGCATAATTCTTGTGGGTCGCAGCACTAATAAGGTTGAGAACTGACAGGGTTTTGGATTCTAGTTTAAAACCAGTAGCATTAGTGTTTTGAAGCCTTCCTGACTGCTACTGGTTCTGTACATGCATTTCTGTCTATTGGGTGGAACATGTAAGTTATAGAAAATGAGAAGATAACACTTTTTTTTTGGTCACCTGGACTCAGAAATCCGGATTTGTGTGAAGAAAAAAAAAAAACAGCACCCAGCTCAGCCATATATTTAAAATGATGTTAGTTTCCCAGTGCTATACTACACACTACAGCATTTTCAGTACCATGACTCTTTGAGAACCAAATATACAGTACCAGTATATATATTTATAAATATAAATATATACACACTCGTTCATACCTGTTTATAGTATTTTATAAAAATAAAAGGTGCTGCATGTCGATTGTCAGGGTTGCTAAAACTTTTAATCACTGTCTCAAAGATTGTTTGGAACCAGAATAAAGTTTAAAATTTCTTTTTTTTTTTTTTTTTTACAAATTCCTTTGCAAACTCAACATATCTTTATTTGACAGTGAAAAAATACAAAGTTTAAAACGTAATACAATTTTAATCAACATAAATATTAAAGTTATCATTATTCAATGGCAAGTATGGGGATGCTTTTGACTAATAAGATGTTTGATTCTATATTTGTCACCCAAACCACAGCCAGATCAAGGATCCCTGGCAACTGAATCTGGCCCAGGGCTATAGTTTGAGGAACACTGCTGTAAATGATCATTTATTATCATGTTAGAATAAATTAAGTTGTTCTTTATTGAAAAAAAGAGTGGGGGGGGCGGGACATGGATAAGTAGATAATTATTAATAATATATTTCTAAACATACTTGCTTTTATTTCATTATGTAATGAATATTTATTTAGTCAAAATAATATGATTTTTTTTTCCCACTGCTGAGCTCAAAATTATTGTGCAAATGGTAATGATTAAGATTTTAATGTTGCTTTTGTTATGTGTTTTTCTGTCATTACAAGCTTCTTTTTTTTTAATAAACACAGTTTCATATTTATGCCAAGCCTTCTCTATAACTATACTACCGGTATAAACTAAAACTATATTTTCTAATTCTCTGACAGTCACAGGCTGTTAACTCCTATTTCATTTGCAAAGCATAAAGAATTATTTTGTTTCATGGAAAATTTTTATTGGTCTTTTTGTCCTGACCCTAAGAGGTTGCAAATAGGTGACACTGATTTATAAAATTATCATGACCATTTTATTTTTCAAAGTATGGTATGAGTAGTATGAATAGTAAAAATAATAGTATAAGTATAATTATTGTAAAAGATGAACTTATTTTCATCAATTTAATTTTTAAATTAATACATTTGGCAATACCCGTAACATACATTAGTCCAATCCTTTACTAAACACTAAAAAGGGCCAACTCCTAGTAAAGTAAAGATGATTTTGTTTGATAAATAAATTCACTTTTCTAACATTGATATAAACTAATTGTAATTAAATTATGATCCCTGTGCGGTGATTAGTACCGGTACCAGATAGATAATTTAGTTAATCAAGAATGTGTTTGGGCTCTTTCACATTCCTGTGTAATATTACATAGGGCCCAGATAGATAATTTAGTTAATCAAGAATGTGTTTGGGCTCTTTCACATTCCTGTGTAATATTACATAGGGCCTACTCTTAATCTTGAACTAGTTCCACAATCAAAACATGTTTCCCTTAATTTAGGTATAAGAGTATGTCAGAGGTCAAAGGTTATATTTAAAAAAATAAATAAAAAGATTCCTAATTGTTTTTATAATACCAGTAGAAATAAAGATAAAAATGATACTCTACTTTAAAAAACCTGCAATGAGCCATGTAACATATACCTGTATATAGAATAAGAAATGCAAAATGTCTATGTTGTAGATTGAAATTTAAGTGTCATAAAAATTGACCAGAAAGAAAAATCATGAATTCTAAGTACCGATACCGGTATGTAAGAGTAAAGACTATCAATATCGCCTCAGTATTTCACTTCTTTGAAGATAAATTATATAATATAGCTGCAAGGCTTTAACTTTTAAAAATATGCTAAATTACATGTGCTGTATGTTGTGCAGTATATATTGAGTGTGTGTCACTTTTGACTTCTGTAAACCAGTGATTGGCATTGGAATGTTTGAAATCTAGAAGTTTTGAGTGAAAAGAAATGCTATTAAGTTAATTAAGACTGTGTTATCCTGTTCCTGAATGCTCTTCAAAATTCTCTTTGAAATTAAAGTTAAATACTTGTTTGTGTAATAGCTGTGACATGAAAAAGTGATTGCGAGTCAATAATAATTAGTATTATTAGTATATATTTAAATTCCAAAATTTTTAAATTTTAAGATATCGGTACCGGTGTTTCAGTTTCAATAAAATTAGTGTTGAAAGACAAAGAATAAATGTTATAAGTATAAGACTCTGCAAAGGGTATTTTGTTTTAGATATATCTTAAACTAAATAAAGATACTTTTTTTAAAAAAACAATATTTAATTTATAAAACAATCCCATTATTATTATATATTATTAAAATATTTAAAACAATTGTTTTTTAAAACAAATAAACGTCCAGTTCTCAGTTATAGTTATAATTAAAAACATCAGTTGTCTTCTTTCTTCCGATATATATATATATAATTAACAAAATCCCTGTAGGACACCAGCTGTATGAGCTTTTGCTATTTGTAAAAACGTACTAGCATAATTTTGTTTACCTTAGACTTAGATGTATACCTGGTCCATGGAACATTTAAACTTTCTTCAGGACATGTTTAACTGAAAATTAAACTACACCTTTGCTAATAAATTTTCCAGATCCTCAACAAAAAACAAAATATGTTAGTAAATTATTACATATAAAAGCCTAGGGAATCTATAAAAAAAAAAAAAATTACACAGTAACACCTCTTAAGAATAAGATGTAATTAATATAATTACCAGGGGCTTGTTTAACCTCATATAAACTTATTTGATCGGGGTGCTGGAAGTTTGATTAATTACTTACCTTTTAAAATTGTATTAATTTAATGAAAATATAGAAAAGTTGTTCTGTTTAGCCTGCAAGTGTAATTAATAGAGTTGAGATCACCTGACAAAAAAACTGGTGGAAAATTTACTGATATCAAAACAGTAATAGTAATAGCAATTTAATGTTATTTTCCTTTCTTCATACAGTGTATGACAATGAAATAAACATAATATTTTTTTTTTAACGTTCAGTGTAATTTATAGAGTTGAGATCACCTGACAAAAAAAACTGTGGTGGAAAATTTACTGATAGCAAAACAGTAATAGTAATTGCAATTTAATTTATTTTCCTTTCTTCATACAGTGTATGACAATGAAATAAACATAATATTTTTTTAAACGTTCAGTTTTCATAAGACTTTTCATATACATAATTGGAAAATAATTATTACACATATACCCAGTACCTAAACGCATATCAAACAATTGCACTAGTCTACCGGTATATCTGAAAGCACACAAAGTAATAGTGCAAGTACAAGAAACAACCTCACATCATTTCATCTCCATATCCACTCCTGGAGAAACGGCATTCAATCCTAACTTATTCTTATTAACCTTATGCCATATGTTATGGGCAGTTCTTCTGTGTTTGATTAAATTGCTCACATGAGCAAAAGCAAACTTGCAACTCTCACACTGATGGGGTCTTTCCCCAGTGTGTGTTTTTTTATGTTCACTTAAACCATTCTTGAATTTAAAAGCCTTGAAGCAGTCTTTGCACTTGTAAGGCTTTATATTGGAGTGCTTTTTAAGGTGACTGTATAGACCGGAAGGTGCCGCAAAAGCCTCACTGCAATGGTCACACTTGTATGGTTTCTCTCCAGAGTGTTTTCTCAAGTGTATAATGAAATTAATCTTTTGAAGGGAAACATGGTTACACAGGTGACATTTAAATGGCTGCTTTTCTGCAATTTTCCTACGTCGGGCCATATCAGGCTGACCACTGTGTTTCATTTGTTGTGCCTCCTCGGCCAGGCGGCTGTGCATCTTTTGGTGTGCTGTAAGTTGATGTCTGTGAGTAAATTCTTCATTGCATTCTTTACACTGCAATGGGTCTCTGTTATGAGACTTTACATGATAACATAATGCAAAAGAATTGGCTAACATCATGCCACAGATATGGCACTGGAAAGGCTTTTCCCCAGTGTGATTTCTTTGATGATTAACCAGCATTCGCTTTTCCACATATGTAGCACTGCAGATATCACACTTGAATGGCCGTGCCCCCGAGTGCCATTTCAAGTGCACTATGACAGTGCTTTTATATCGGAAGGAAGCATTACAAATAAGGCATTTTAATGGCCTCTCGCCTGTGTGTTTCCTAGTGTGTGCAACCAAATGCGCCTTTGAATAATAGGCACTGTTGCAAATCTCACACTTGTGTGTTTTCTCACCTGTGTGCCTCTTTGTATGGGATATTAGACAAGCTGAAGTGTAAAAACTTTTACTGCAAACAGTGCACTGGTGTGGTTGTGGTCTGTTGGGGGCATGTTTCTTTTCATGGGTTCTTAACGACGCCAACTCAGGATAAGCAGCACCACAGACTTTACACTGGTATGGTCGCTCTCTCGTGTATCCTCTGGTGAACAACAAAGCGGTGCTTGCGTTGAAAAGCATGACTACAGATATTGCATTTAAATGGTGTTAACCTGAGGTGAGACTTGATGTGAGTTGCAAAATTATTTCTGTGGAGAAACTCTGCATTACAATCACAACATTTCAACATTTTTGTGCCAGAAACAACAGTTGGCTTGCCTGGGATAGAAACAGAACTGTCACTGGCACTGACATTACACTCAAAAGATTCTGCTCTGCTGTGTGCCCCTCTGTGCACTGACAGCAGGGCTAGGCAGGTAAACCTTTCACAGCAAATTTCACATTTATGAGGTTTTTCTTCAAAATGGTTCAACCTGTGTTTCTTAAAATTGCCCTTACCATAATAAGTGGCCTTACAAATTTTACATCTGTACAATTTTTCTCCAGTATGCACGCGTTGATGCATGGCCAGACGATTCTTGCGTATAAAAGCAGCGGGGCAAACTTTGCATTTGTATGGCTTCTCACCTGTGTGCATCTTCAGGTGAACAACCAAATTAGATCTTTTCGCAAAACTTGAATTGCAAAATGAACATTTGAAACGTTTGCTGGGAGCTTTCGAGTTTTCTTGCTTTAGATTAGAATCAACTGCTGCGGTGGAAACAGAATCAGCAGCTGAGGTGGAAGCAGAATCAACAGCTGCGGTGGAAGCAGAATCAACAGCTGTGGTGGAAACAGAATCAACAGCTGTGGTGGAAACAGAATCAACAGCTGTGGTGGAAACAGAATCAACAGCTGTGGTGGAAACAGAATCAACGGCTGTGGTGGAAACAGAATCAAAAGCTGTGGTGGAAACAGAAGCAACAGCTGTGGTGGAATCAGAATCAACGGCTGAGGTGGAAACAGAATCAAAAGCTGTGGTGGAAACAGAATTAACAGCTGTGGTGGAAACAGAATCAACAGCTGTGGTGGAAACAGAATCAACAGCTGTGGTAGAAACAGAATCAACAGCTGTGGTGGAATGAGAATCAACAGCCGAGGAGGAAACAGAATCAACAGCTGTGCTGGAAACAAGATCAGCACCTGGATTGGTATTACATCTTTTGGATTTCCCACCACAGCAGTTCTTTTGGTCCGCAGTTGAATTAGATTTATCAGCAGAAACCTGCTTGATATCATTGTCATTAACAAATTTTTGTCCAGCATGTCTAATTTTATGCTTTTTCAAAGTGATTAAATCAAGAAAGGCAGCGTCACACAAGTTACATTGATATGGTTTCTCCCCCGTGTGTTTCATTTTGTGCCGTATCAAATTGCGTAAATCTGTGTAGGAGGCACTGCAGAGCTCACATTTGTACGGCCTTGGATCAGAAGAGTGACAGATTTGGTGACGCTTTAAACTGCTGATTTCGAAATAGGATGCATCACAATGCTGACATTTGTACGGTTTTTCAAAACATTGCCGTTTTTCTTGGTGTGATTTCAAAGCGCTTAAGTCAGAGTGGGCGGCACCACAAGTCATGCATTGATATGGCTTTTCTCCGGCACCAACATGGGCTTTTTTTACATGATTCTTCAAACTGTACAAAAGACTAAATGAGAAGTCACAAAACCTACATTGGTAAGGTTTCTGTCTTGAGTGTCTTCCTTCAAGCTGATGTTTTTCTTCAGTGTGCTCTGTTGTGTGCTTCTTGTGTTCGGCCAGACCGTCGGTTAATGGAGAATGTGAATCACCACGATGGCATTGGATAGGTTTTTCTCCAGGGTGCCTATTTGTGTGGTGGTTTTTCAAACTGCGCACATCATAATAGGCAGCATCACAAAAATCACATTTGTATGGTTTTCCTCCAGAACCAGTGTGTCTGGCTTGGTGGCTCTTTAAATTGCAGGCGTTGAAATAGGATGCATCACAAAGTTGACATCTATATGGTTTTTTAGCACACCGTTTTCTTTGGTGCAGTCTTAGAGTGACTAAATCATCATAGGCAGCACCACAGTATAAGCATTCATGAGACTTTTCTGCAACTCCGGGGTGGGCTTTTTCTACATGTTTTTTCAAACTGTAAGAAACACTAAAAACAATATCACAAAATTTACATTGGTACGGCCTCTGTCTAGTCTGGCTTGCTCCAGGTGTAACAACGGATAGCATTTCTTCAGGATAAGTTTTCTGTCTAGAGTGTCTTCCCTCCAGCTTATGTTTTTTTTCAGTGGGCTTTGAGATGAGTTTCTTGTGATCAAGAAGACGGTTGGTTAAAGTAGCTTGTGAATGACCACGATTGCATGTGATAGGTTTTTCGTCAGTGTGTTTTGTTGCATGCTTCTGGCGTACAATGAGGCTGCTGGTTAAAGTAGCATGTGAATCAACACGATTATATTTGATAGATATTTCTCCATTGTGCTTTTTTGCACATTTGTACGGTTTTTCCCCAGAACCTGTGTGTTTGAATTTGTGGTGCCTCTTTAAATTGCTGATGTTGAAATATGATGCATTACAAATCCGACATCGATACGGTTTTTTAGCACATTTTTTTCCTTGGTGCAGTCTTAAAGTGACTATATCATCATAGACAGCACTACAGTTTAAGCATTCATGAGACTTTTCTGCTACGCCAGTGTGGGCTTTTTCTACATGTTTTTTCAAACTGTATGAGACACTAAAAGCAATATCACAAAATTTACATTGGTGGGGCCTCTGTCTAGTCTGACTTGCTCCAGGTGTAAAAACTGGCAGCATTTCTCCACGGTGCTTTAAGTTGTGCTTTTTCAAACAGTGTTTATCAACACAGGAAGCATCACAAAGCTTACGTTGGTGCAGTTTTTCTCCAGAACCACTGTGTGTGATTTGGTGCCTTTTTAAACTGCTGACATCAAAATAGGATGCATCACAAAGTTTACATCGATGCGGTTTTTTAGCACATTGTCTTCTTTGGTGTAATTTTAAAGTGCTCACATCAGCGTAGGCGGCACCACAATGGATGCATTGATGAGACTTCTCCGCAACGTCTGTGCGTGTCTTTTCAGTGTGTCTTTTCAAACCGTTTGAAACACTCGAAGTGGCATTACGAAATGTACTACGGTAAGGTCTCTCTCCAGGGCAGCTTCCTTCGTATGATACTTGCTGTTTTTCTTCAGTGTGCTTTTCTACATTGTGCCCAGATAAAAGAGAACGAGAAGCAAAAACCAAATTGCATTCAGTGCATTTAAATAGCTCACTGTGTTTCTTCTTGTGTTCAAGGAGGTGGGTTTTTGAAGGAAAATGTGAATCACAATCATGACATTTGAAAAGTTTTTCTACTGGATGACTCCTCAGGTGGTCAGCAAGGCTAGACTCTTGATCAAAAGTAGCAGTGCATACATTGCAGTGATAAGAATGTTCTCTCAAATCCTTTTTTTTGTTTAATTGTAATACATATTTGTCGGATAGAGGGATGTCATCGTGATCTTTTTCTGCAACATGAACTTTTAGATGACCATCCAAACTGCTGTTCTTGGTGAATTTTTTGCCACACACATTACCTTTGAATAGTTTATCAGATCGCAAGCCCTGATTCTTATCCTGAGTTGCCAATCTGGTATATTTGCCCGCAGTTAATTCCAATAGAGAAGAGTCACTTTCTGCACATGTTTCACTTTGTTCTCTTTCATTCAATGACTCTTTTAAAGCATTTTCCAAAAATCTTGGAAGAATGTTGTCAATCACTTCATCTTTGCCAATTTGGAGCTCTCCCTTGATTTCAAAATTAGGTGGTAAAATTTCATTTTTAGCATCAATAAATGTATTGTCTAGATTATTTGTAGTTGTAGTAGTGCTGTTAGTAGTTGCCTCTTTTTGGCAATCTTTTTCCTGTTTCACATTAAATACTTGTTCCATGTCATATTGGGAGGAAATATCAAGAATTTCCGACTTCAATAATAGATTAAAGTCTATGTTATAATCTTCAAGAACTTCCATGCTGTTATTTAGAGCTAATGATAAAAAAATGTTTCCTGTTCAAATGAGTGAGGAATGATGCAGGAAACATTCAAAGAACATGCTTTTCGATTCTATTCACTGGATAAATCTGGAAAAAAGAACAATATATATTTTTTTAATTTGATAAGAAGCACTTCATTTCAATTTGTTTGACTTGAGAAAAATGGAAAAAATGAAACTGAATTGTGAAATGTAATGAATGAAGTGAATGCTAGTTATAATGACAATGAAAACAACATAAAGTATAGTAATACTATTTCTTTAAATTGTACTTGGGTAAATCAGTTTTCTGCTAGTGTCAAATTGTTGCAGAGTTATGACAGTTACGTGTCCCTTGCTCAACTTTTTTGTCCACTTCAAAATGTAAACAGTGCACATGCCACATTTGTTGGGAAAAAAAATGTGGTTTGCGGTAATTTCTTTGTTAAATGGGTAGTGTGATATATCATTTTAAAGAGAACAGGATGCCAAACAATACTGTCTTTTCCAGTTTTTATACAAGAATATTTTGGTAACAAAATATCAAGTTGAATTAAGCCAAGTCTACTACTTAATTTCTCAACCCCACACCACCACACATGATTTTCATGATTACCACTGTTATCCAAGCATCCAATTATCTACAAGAATAGGCAGCTAAAATTTCCCTCCAACCTACCCCAACAATTTTATTAAATTTTCAAAACAGTCACCACATTGGTGCTTTCTCCCTGAATACCATTTTAACGATAGCAGACATTTGCTCATATTGTCAGATCCACCACAGCAAATCATATTTAAATCTTAAGTAATATGTTTACCCTATTAAACAGTGTTAAAAGCACTATTCTAAGTTATTTGGGGTAAATATTATTACCTAAGGAGTCATTTAATATATGTAATTTAATTGATATTCAAGGATATATTCAAGGATATTTTGTTGTATTTCAAATATTTCTTGACGTAAATAATAAATACTCATATACTGTAGTCAATTTCAGTGAAAGTTCCACTCCTATACAATAGGATTATTAAATTTAGGACTTTGGTCTAAGCTACCTGACACATGTGTAGCATGGACATATGAAGAAAATGTGTTTTATCTTCATAATAGATTTAAAATTAAGATTTTTTTAGTATTCAGATGAATTGGTATTTTGAAATACTTTACATAAAAAAAATACTTTGTTTTATTCAAATTGTCAAAATGTTAATCATATTAGCAATTTGTGTGCAATAGTTGTTGAAACGGCACAAATCTTTTTTTTCATTTTAACATTTTAGAGCTACTTACTACTATGAAAAACTAATGCTACACTTAGCAAAAATATAATAGAATTAAAAGAAACCTCTAAGCAAAAAAGACTCAAGTGTATTTTTATTATTATAATCTGAATATTGTACATTATTTATCAGATTTTGATTTTGCTCTTGGAGATATAAAATAAATTAAAAATTTTTAAGGGACAAGAGTTCACTCTTCAATATGCTACTTGTTATTGTTCCCCTTTTCAATACAAATAATTTGATATAAATGAACCCATATTTTGGAAAATATTGTTCATATTATGTTCATATTCAAAAATGACATATGGAAATTTTTCTGCCATTTTGAATATTAATGAGCTCATTTTGAGTACAGCAGATTTTTGTCTTTTTACTGTTTGGATAATGTTATGATGATCACATATATATGGTCTCTATATTATGGTTTGTAATGGTTATCTTCATTAATTCCTTAAATTAAGTTAAATAACTTTACTGATCTTTAAAAATCTATCACAAATCTCTGCCCATCTTCTATTTTAGTGAATTTTATATTTTCCTATATGTCTCAAGTTATCCCAAAATAATTCACGAAAAAAAACATAATTTTCTTTTGAATTGACCTACAACTAAAACCATAAATTTGGTGTTGGGGCTGTCCATTAATTATGTCAACAAAATAGGAGGGGGGGGGGGGTATGAAATGTTTGAAAGTTGTTGACAAGTGGGAGGGAGGGGGGTTTACATTAGTTGACGTCAACAATCATGTTTTCTCAATTAAATTAAAATTGACTGGTTATTACATTATTTTTAAAAAAAATGAATGAGTATAAATAGTCATATAATTTTTGGTGGAATGCGCAGTCAAGATAAATTATATTGTTAGAGTAGGAATACGATATTTTGAGAATGAGGGGAAAGTAAAGAGAGTTACAATAATAACATAGCTACTTGAAAAGATTGTAAAAAATCTGTAACATCTATTTTGCATCACAAGTCAAGTTGAAAAAGCATGTTCAACAGCACGGAGAATGCATAAGAAATTACCACCTGCTACTCAACAAAAAAGGATTCGACCAATGCGAGTAGCTGCCACAAGACACGGAAACCTTATGGCAATTATTGCTCACACCGACATTGCTTCTATTTTAAGTGCAGAATGGTTAGATGAGGATGATGTTGACTTGTCTGGTATATCAGTTCTGCAAGATGAAAATGATAAATCAGCTACTAGAAACTATGCCCATCAGGGGTGTCATTTCAGGGAGTTTTCAGGGGGGAGGGGGGCAAAACCAAAACTTGGTCTGCTTGTTAAGTTGTGCCACAGTATATAGCAACTCAAATGAAACCTGAAAATTCGGGGGGGGGGGGGTCAACTTAGTAGGATTTAATTTAAGGCCGGCACTACGTACACCGCGGCGGTGTACCTAGCGAAACTATTGACTTTGGCCTGCGTACACCGCGGCGGTGTACCTAGCTAAATCATGGTATGTTGCCTGCGTACACCGCAGCGATTTACAGTAGCCAAACTATGGTCTTTGCGAGTCTTTAACTTTTTGGCCTAACCGGTACTTGTAGATTTAATTTTATACTCGTGTTAAAACTGAAAACTATTAAAAATTCGTTTATTACCTTGGGAAGATATTGAGTAAGGTCCACGCGTATGTGGCAAAGTGCATGTAAAGCATTTCTTATTATTTTTGGAAGGGAAGGGGTTGGGGGTGTAATGTTAAACCATGATTTATTTTTAAAGTTAACCACTTTATTCCCCCCTCCCCCAATATCTTGAAATACAAATATATTTATTAATTGTAAGTTTTATCATATGATTGTGAATCTTAATTTGAAATTATTCTCTCATGCCCACCCCC